ACACCCTAAGAAGAGGACACAGTGAAGACCAATATCGCATTTAAAAAATTTTTATGATCATGTGTTAGGGGCTGCAGGGCCAAGAAAGAAGATGTTTATAGCCACCCATAACTCTAGAGAGGAAGAGAATAGTGTTTCCTTGATCACAGACATTAGACAGGATGCTACATGAGGCTGGTGGAGCTTATCACATCTCCTGATGTGAGGCTGGTGGAGCTTGGTTGATGGAGTGAAGGACATCTGATCTCTAGCCTCACTGAGCCTATGGGTGTCATAGTTATCTAGAGACCAGCCTAGGGATGAGCCATTTGTCTAAATACCTTTAGTTTGAAGGAGTGCTACATATTAGAATACCTTAATATTATTCGAAACAATGGAGGCCTCCCTTCCCAGAGCTTGCTGTGGAAAACATCTAATTCTACCATGAGGGGACAAAGCAAGTGAAAACAGGGAGTATTTGACACATGATGATCACAAGGAAAGGCTGCAAGACAGGACAAGGGAGTTGGACCAAATAATATCCAGCACAGCTTTGTCCTCGCAAAACCATGAACTAGCAGCATTCATTTTCAGACTTCAAGTCCTCCTTTCTTTTATTCCTCTTACCCTCAGCCTGTTCTTCCTGGCTGGAAGCCTTCCTTCAGTTCCCAGGCTTCATTCCTACCCAGACCAGGAAGTCTCTAAGCACAGACCATTAGATAAAATGTTGAAAATATGTCCATAAATCCCCTTGGAGGGTGACTAGAGCTTCATGCTTTCGTGGTGATGACCTGGGCTATATTCCTGGAAAGAACGCATGTAGTAGAGCCCACCGCCTCATTGCAAGGCGCCACATTAACACAGAAGCTAAGTAAAAGCAGTGTGCTTGCTATACAAGTATGCCGTCCAGCCAGACTGCTGCGCCTCAGCTTTTCCCATATAGAAAGTCTGGAGCCGCCCCACACTCACACAGTGGTGTATGTACACAAAAGAAGCATGGATCACTCTGTCCTTCACAGTAGTCTCTGGAGCCTGAAAAACAAAAACAGCAGCTGTCTGGTATTTCCTTTGAGAAGTGGGTGAAATTTAAGGTTTTCCTCTTCCCACAAACATAAATGTTAAAGTTTGCAAATAATTTCAGGAGGTTTATGGTCCTCTGAAACACACTGATAGTGGTCCCTGGACGGTGGGGCGAGGGGATGTCCATAGATGCCAAGAAAAACTCTCTTGTGCTAATGGGGAAGGACCACGGGAGGAATGGCACCAGGGTTTTAAAATACCTGAGCTCAGTTGGGCCAAGTATAAAACAAGAAATAGTTGGTTTTTCATTCTCTCCTTTCCTCCATCATCTCCCTTTTTTCTTCCCCCTCAAGAATAAATCCTATATCCTAGACTCGCTCTAGGATATAACTCGTTGCTGTTGAGGCTTAAATGTGACCTCTTCCAGACAAAATACAGTCAGTTCTGGTATAATGTGACACATACTTTCCTAAAAATCATTGCGCTGTACAACATTGCACAATAACAACCACAGAGCTTACGGGGAAAATGAAATTAGGGGCACAATACTCAAAAAATGTTGTCATTGACACTTAAAAAAGACAATAGGAACCTAATAAAAAGGGTAGCAGTTTTACACATGTTAAATAGTTAGGAAATACATAAACACTACAATAAATATGGCACCTTACCTAGAAAAAGACCTGAAGTTTGCCCATGGAGGTGAGTGTGAGAGCTATCAAGAAATGGCAACAGAGGGTTTTTGAGCACAGAAAATTATAACACCCGAAGTGGATGAGTATGGCTCATGATATACCTGGTGAATCAAGGCAGCTGGAGGATGTTTGCAGCATTTGTGTGCATTCCTATACAGTTCAAGTCAGCTGGAGGCAGTTTCTGCATTCAAAGATGAAATCACACATAGGCAAACACAAAATTCTTGCTATACTCAAATTGTTCCCTGGTATATTTAATCAGTGGAATAAATTCCCATTTTTGATACGTGCATTAAAGCAGGACTGACTAAAATCTAGGTTATAAAAATGATTATAATTTAAAGAATAAAAAGCCATTAAGACCCCAGTGGAATGATGCCATAAAGGTAGCAGTAGGGTTATCTGGAAGCAGAGGATATGTAACTCAACTAAATCTGAGTCCCCTTACTCCCACCCTAAATTCCATCTAAACATAGTGATAGATTCAAGTGAAATGCAACTTGGGTTCCATAACTTGGAAACATACTGTCAATCCTAAGCAAATCCTACTTGGTGCTAGGAAGAACTTGTAACAATACACACCAGACTTCCTGAAAGTCCTCATTATACATTTTTGTCCTTATCATCCCACACCACGTGGTGGCCAACACTAATCTTCCTTCCCTCTTCTCCAGCATTTCTTGTCCCCTCTATGTACACTCCTCAAAAGCCCAGAAAACAAAATCCCAACCTTTACGGGTTCTCTCATTACCCCTTCCTCTCTTTCCCACCTTTTTCCCAAGAGTAAAAACTCTATACATAGGTGTATTACTTTTCTATTGCTGTTGTAACAAATTACCCCTTAACCAGTGGCTTAAAACAGCACAAAAGTTATTCTTTCACAGTTCTAGAGGTCAGAGGTCTCAAATGAGCTTTATGGGGTTAAAATCAGGGTGTTGGCAGGCTGCAGTCCCATGGGCTCCAGGGGAGAACATGTTCTTTGCCTTTCCCAGCTTCTAGAGGCTGCCTGTATTTACTGGCTTCTGGCCCCATATCACTCTGACCTCTGCTTCTATTATCACATCTTCTCTGACTCCTGACACGCCTGCCTTCCTTTTATAAGTACACCTGTGATTATATCAGGCATACCTGGATAATGTGGGCTAATCTCACATCTCAAGATCATTAATTTAATCACATTTGCAAAGTCCCTTTTGTTATTTAGGGATATATAAAGGTAGCATATTCACGGGTTCTAGGGATTAGCCTACCACACCAGCGATAATGTTCAAAACGCTTCACAACTGATATGCCACTTAAGGCAGGGTGTCTAAAATGAGCTTTATGGAACTAAAATCAGGGTGTTGGTAGGCTTCATTCCCGTAGGCTCCAGGAGAGAACATGTTCCTTGCCTTTCCCAGCTTCTAGAGGCTGCCTGTATTTACTGGCTTCTGGCCCCATATCACTCTGACCTCTGCTTCTGTTATCACATCTTCTCTAAGACCTCAGAAAGATCTTAGGTCATAATGCTGCAGCAGGACCCTGGAGATCCTGGCATGCTGGTTGATGAATAGTAGAGAGGGCTGGGAGGTCTCAGAGAGGGACTGGGATTTGTAGGGTGTTGGTGAGGCACTCTGGGGCTGTAAGGAATGGTTCTCTCTAAGCAATATGAAAGACTTTCTACTTTGTTACAATCAGCACAGTCACACCAGTGCATTTTGGCTGACCACTGACCTGCCATGCTCTTCCTTATCCACAATCAGTACACAAACTTTCTGGGATTTTATCATGTGCTGTATTCACCCCCGTTACCTGGAATGTCTATTTAAGCCTCATCACAACCCAATGATTAGTTCTACACTTATCTTCCTTTTGCAATAACATACCTGGGGTCATATGTGCTATTAATTGCTAGGGCCTGAATCTGAAATTAAGCACTTAGCTTTAGAAATTGAGCTCTTAACCATTGTGGTTAGTGTTTACAAGGAGACTCTTTAGGCAGATCAGGAAAGCATGTACAAAGACTGTGCAGGCAATGTTGAGGTACCAAGTGACAACATGTAGTCCACATGCATTTCATAGGTTTACATAGAACCCTCTCTTACAGAATTTAATGCTTATTGGGAGGGCCTCTTGATCATACAGTAAGAATTCTTATCTACTTTGTAAGCACTCAACATGTATAGTCTTAAATAGATATTCTGATAAAAAAAAAAAACAATTATAGTGAAGCAAATCAAGTCCAAACTCTAATTTACCTTGTCTACATACAGCCTAGAATAAAGCATGGTTTAAGCATGCAATGAAATAGATGAAGAAACAAATCAATAAGTAAAATCCATAGTCAAGAGTTTTATTTGTAAGACCTAACTGACTGTGGTACAAAACTACTTCTGGTTAGAATATTATATTTAACTTTCTCAAATAAGTAGAGCAGTAGGAACAGAAGCAGCAGCAGAGAGAAAGATGATAAAGCCACTAATGGACTTTGAGTCTTTTGTAACCTCTACCTGGTCATAGTTAGAAATGTGTTGCTCATCCCTTGTCTCATATCTAAAAGAAATAAGTAATACTACCCCCCCCCCATAATAATTTATGGGTATTTTTGATTTTGCTGTTGAAAAAGTTTTTGGTTTGGACAAGAATGAGAATTAGTACCTTTCATTCATTTAATTGATGCATTGTATAGAAGAGATGGACATCAGAGAGTTTTTTTGTTGTTTTTTTAAATGAAGGTAGAGTGAGATCCTGATTGGGAGATGGCATGAATTTCTTTACAGTCTCTTAGAATCATTTATGACACACATAAAAACCAGATTGCTAAGTAAAATATTAGGAGCCAAGATTAATGTTATTTAAAGATGCTCTCAGGGAGAATTGTAAGCAAATTCTACTTTCAACTCTTTAACCTGATTAAAAGCCTAAAATATTCTTGCTAGTTTGGAAAATACCCCTGATATTTAAAATTTCCTAAAATGTAGCTCCCCTCCTACCTTTACGATGGAATACTGGATGATTTCAGTCAAAAGACATAGTTATTACTATAAGAAAAAGTCCTGCAAGAAAGCACATGTTGCCACTTTACTCATTATTGAAGTGCCCTTATGACTGTTAGAGGGAACAGGTAAGATGCTAGGGGAGGCAGAGAAAGAGAGATCAAAGTGTTTTTGTTTACTTCTTTGAAGTTTTGTAGTACCTACTGTTTACCATGCACACTTCTTGATTCATGCTGAAAATTGGAATTCACCCATTTCTCTTTTTCCTGTCTAAGATGCAGATGGGGCACATTTCGTTGACTCCATCAATCCCTGCCCCCCACGCATTAGCACATGCACACGTATACCTAGCCAGTGGAAAAGAAAAAAGAGTTACTCACATTCATCCATTTTACAAAGATTTCCAGGCTGCAATGGGAGGGCTTTACCTCTCCCTGAAGGATGAATAAATAGGTAGCTTTACTGACAACCTGTTCACAGTCAAACTGCAGTGAAAACTGAGACCAAGGTCTTACTCTACTGGCACTTATGAGATCCAGTGCTGGCAACATGGAGAAGATAGTCATCTGCCTGATGGTCATCTTCTTGGGGACAATAGCCCATAAGTCAAGCTTCCAAGAGAAGGATCTCCTCTTGATTAGAATGCGTCAACTTATAGATATTGTTGATCAGCTGCAAAATTATGTGAATTATTTGGTAAGGCCACACTTATCACAACAAAATTTAAATATTATTCTTCAATTAATATAAAAGGTGCTTTTTGACTTATAAAAATAACCCAGAACTAATTTTCTTTTGCTCTAGGAACCTGAACCTCTGCCAGCTCCAGAAGACGTAAAGGTAAGACCAGTTGAATTTATTTGTGATAATATTTGTGACACAAGTTTTTAAATCCAATTAAGAAAGCCATTAACATAATTATCTAGGAATATACTTAATTTCCATGAATTAGGGGGTTTAATAGTTGGTAAAATAGTTATTCCTATTTTGGTCAAATATTCATTGATTTACCAGCAAGCCAATCATAAAAACACCACATAACTTATAAAATATATTTTTATCTCTCAATACCTCTAAGAGTCCTTCCAAGTAGCACTATTGAGACAGAATAACAAAACTAGAAAATAAATCTATTCTATGATCAGTTCCTGAATAATGACCAACTAATTAGATTTTAAGAGCCCTTGTAGAATGACAGTTCTTGAGCCCTCCTTTGCAAACCTACCTAAGAAATATAGACACACACCGGAAGAAGCAGAATGCACCTTTTAATAACAAGAAAGAAAGAAAAGAAAGGAAGGAAGGAAGAGAGAAAGAAGAAAGAACAAATTACAGGAACAGCATGGAAGAATGGTAGTATGGAAGTCAAGGCTGTCCTTTAGAATATAATTCCCATATACCTTGGCCTCAGTGAGTCTTGTCTTTGGCCTTTGGAGAGGTCTTTCAAAAGGACTTTTTTCAAAAACTCATCCCATTCTCTTAAGCCATTTAAATCCCTTAGGTCCGAGGAAGAAAAGACCTAGCACATAGTTCAAGAGGGCTGCGTGCTGGTCTTTTCCTTAGTAACTTCGTTCTAGTCTTCACATCTGGTACCCTGAGGATAAAAATGCAACTGGGGAGATGTTTTCATTGTCTCAGACCTTTAACTGCATAAATTAGAATAACTATAAAAGTGCTACCAGTAATTAGGACACTACAGAGGAGGAGACATATGAAGATACATTGCAAAGAAAACAATTATCGTAAATGACTATGTGTAAAAGTTTAGAAAGTGAATGAGTCACAACCATTGCTTTTCTCTAAAATTCACTCTCTAGCTCTGAACCTAACCACTCTCATTTACTAGGTCTTTTTCTAATAAGCAGCATCTAAAATGAAAGCAGCACATTCAGCTTATTGGAAAGCCTTTTCTAATAAGTGAGAATATTTCTTAATTGATGACCTAATTATCAAAACATACATTTTCAGCATCTCACGCATTTTGTTTAACTGCTGTGGTTAGAGTCCTTTTGGACTAACCCTGTCTATAACTTGCAGAATAAGAAATAAGAAAGATTTCCCATTTTCTAACTTGAGTTGATCCAATGGGTACTTCCTTCATTAAATATCTATGCTTTGTTAAAGATAGAGGCTTTTTACCTTACATCATAATGAGAAGATTTCATCTCAGTGACAGTGTATCTATCTGACAATCTTATCAAACAATGCTTGCTATGATACAAGTGAGTAATGGTATAGCAAAGATCTTTAAGCTATGCTGGCAGGCAAACTTAGGAAGAAAATAATTCAAGGCCACAGTAGCATTATGTCAAGTTTTTCAAGGCTAGCATCAAAGCAGGATCCATAAGAGATTTAAAAATAAGGAAAATAAATTTATTTACATGTTGCATGTAAATGTTGATACTTTGTGATTATCTCAGATCCCTTATTGGCCTTGCCAGGCATTGTTCTCTTTCTTATAATTATATAACCAGTGATCCTCAACTGGTAATGACTTTGCCCTCCTGACAACATCTGACATTCTCTGGAGAAATTTTGGGTTGTCACAGTTGTGTGTAGGGGAGTGCTTTCTACTTGTCAGAGATGCTAGTAAGCATTCTAGAATGCACAGGACAGTCCTAACAACAAAGAATTATCTAGCCCAAAATGTCAATTGTATTGCTATTGAGAAACCCTGATATAAACCTACTTTGCCTTTGGGACAAAGGTATCTTGCCCAAGACTTCCTAGTGTGAGTGGTCAGGCCTTTCTGTGAGGGGGAAAAGTAGGTTAAAAATAAGCTATAAGGAGGCAAATATTTTCAAATATTCAGCTGCAAAACAACAAAGCCAAGCGTGCTTCCTTGCAAAAGCAGCAGTTGACTGTTCTCTGTTTGTTACTCTTGCTTTTTTGACTTCCGTACTGCTCCTTCTATTTTGCAATAATATAGGACACACAACTCCTCATTTTATCATGTGTTGAAGGATGAAGGAATCAAAGCCTCGCCCTCATAGTTTGCTGCCACCAAGGCATAGCAAAGGAAAATAATTGTTATGCTCCCAGATGGTGGTTCTACACATGAGTTTGGGTTCATTCTGTAAAGACCAGGAGTGACAGGCCATCCATGGCTGCCTGAAGCAAGGTTAATATCTCCACTCCCCTTCCCAGTGCATCTGTAAGGCAGTTGTCAGGATAGCTTCTCCACTTCTTTTCCTCTCTGAGGCTGCCTTTGGTGTGTGTCTGAAGCCCAATGCAGCAGTTACTTGTCCTGGACTGTACGTGGCTGGGGACAGCTCTGCTGCTTGCAGAAAGCACTGAGCAACATACCACCGCCTACTGACACAGGTAAACAAGGAAGGGCATGAGACAGTGCAGCCTGTCAGTGTCCAGACGCCATCCAGAGGCTTTCAGAAAAGCTTTCTCAGGCATAAGCTCTTTCATTACTGATCTTGACCATTCCTGGCAATACCAAGGGAGTTCATTCGGTAGGGCCCCTATACTTCTTTGGAACGTAACTTTCTTTCAACATACCCATGTAAATGTTAACTCAGCAAAATGGGCTTCTGTGAGAAATGCTGGTTTCTCAGATCATCACGGATGAAGCAGTTAGTGTTTTCAGTTTCAGCTGGAAAATTTACCTCTTTAAATATGAATATTATTTTTTTCCAGTAAGTTAAGCCGGTTGTGGTCAAAAAGAAGAGAAAAGAAAAAACTTCAACAAACATGAGCATGTGGTTTTCAAGGAAAAAAAAGTGCTATAATTAACATTTATAAATAGTTTCTATTAAATAAGCATTTTGGCAAACATATGGAAAGGATATTACCTTGCCCTTATGAGAGAGGCAAACTGTTCTGATAGAAGGAAACTAGATAAGCTGGTTCTCAGCTTGTGGCTATGTATGCAAAGTAAGCCTGACAGGCTTGTGTCTTAATGATGCATGTTATTAATCAACATTCATATTGGGTAAGCATATGGGTTGGAAAATGCAAAGCAGGCCAGATGCTATTTTCAGCTGATTGTCCATGAGAAGACTCAGATAATTTTGTTATATGTGGAACTGCCCTTGTAGGAACTGAGAGAAATTAAGGTTTCTGGTTTCATATGGCTGTGTCTTCCATACACATTAGTGAGATAGGGATGCGACTACTGGGGTGGGGTGGGGTATGGATAGAATAGCATGATATACACACATTGGCTGAAAGAAAAAAGAAACTTGGATACAAGTTTTTAGATCAGCATTAAAATGTTTTTAATAAGTCAATTTAAGTTTTGTTCTTTTGATATATTCCATTTTATTTTCAGTTTGATTTCTACGGTTTTTGAGTTACTACTCTCTAGTTATTTGACTAAACCAAGAGACAAGGTTTTGGTCCTCGTTCCGCCCTCTTCTTCATTCTTTGAGACACCATCCTTAGTTTCTAAGGAACAGTCCTCCGTCCCATTGGTTGCACAAGTCTCAAATTCTGTTCCTTGAGTAGGTAGTTCAGGCAGAATCCTACCCTAAGTGACCTAAGAGTGTGAATAGCATTTTAGAAGAGTCATGTGTAGTCTGTCACAGGTGTATGGACTCTTAGATGTAGAATATGCCATCAGAGGTAGATAGCCACTTCCTTCACCCAAAGTAGGGGCATTAACTCATTTACTTTGTTTGTTGACTCCACACGTAGTTATTGAGCACTGACTAGCAATAAGACAGGATGCCAGGTGTTGTGTAAGGTAAGATGTTGCTCGAGACATGTCACTGTTAGATGCTTCCATGAACATTGTAGAGAGAAACAAACAAAAATCAAATAAAAAAGATTGCTAATCAGATTACAGCGTATCTCACCCAAAGCTGCAACCAGTCATAGTGTAACTTATAGAAAATTTAGAAGATCCTGTCTACTACCCAGACCTCAAAATGGCATTAGAAAGGGAAAAGCTAGGGGCGCCTGGGTGGCGCAGTCGGTTGGGCGTCCGACTTCAGCCAGGTCACGATCTCGCGGTCCGTGAGTTCGAGCCCCGCGTCGGGCTCTGGGCTGATGGCTCAGAGCCTGGAGCCTGTTTCCGATTCTGTGTCTCACTCTCTCTCTGCCCCTTCCCTGTTCATGCTCTGTCTCTCTCTGTCCCAAAAATATAAATAAACGTTGGAAAAAAAAAAAAAGAAATGGAAAAGCTAGGATCCCTCCTTTTGCCTGTAGGGAGGGAAATGTTGTCTCTTCCCTAATACGGGATGAAATTTTACATTGCAGGTGCCTCCTTCTAATGAGCCCAAATGCATAGGGCGTGAACTCCTTCCTCACAATCTGCTGAAATAAATGTGATCTAATATGCTGTAGTAGAAGTAGAAAAAGAGGACTGGGAAGGTCATTTACTTTCTGAATAACTTTTGTTTTGTTTACATATATATAAATTATTTCTTTTTCAGAGACACTGCGAACGGTCAGCTTTTTCATGTTTTCAGAAGGTCCAACTAAAGGCAGCAAATACAGGAGGCAATGAACAGATAATCAGCGTATTAACTAAACAGCTGAAGAGGAAACTACCTCCCACAAACGCAGGCAGAAGACAGAAACACAGACCAGTAAGACTGTCATTTGTCATCTCTCTTATTTGTACTTAGTAACTACATCTCTTACGGTACATAACGCACTTATACACACATTTGTAGCCAGAGATTCCAGTGCCTTCCTTCCAGTTACACGCTGTCTTTCATGGCATATTTTGAGAAGTGAAGTCACCTCTTCCAAATCCACAGACTCAAAAGTGCCCAGAAATCCTGTTAAGAATTTGCTAACAGTCTCTGGTAGCTGGAAGAAGTTAAAATAGCCTCTCAAGGTGAGGAAGTCACTTGGCAGGAAATCTAATTGTGACTTAGGAGTTAAGTATTTTTCTTTCATCATATGGTCACATATAACTTGTATTCTTATTAACAGGAGCTAGGGCCTAGTTTTCCTATAAGAAAAGAGACAGCCTACAGGAGACCAAGAAAAATCTCATATTTTGCATTCTTCTCTTAAAGAATATTATTGTCCTATATAATCACAGAGTCAGCACTATATTTAAATAGGACAGATCTCATTATTTGGCTGGAGAATTTTAATAGTCCCTAGGAGGCCCTGAGACCCTCTTGTATATTTCTTCCTATGCCAACTCATAAGCAATGCTGATACTGTCATCACTAATTCAAGAATTAATCAAAACCAGTGGAATAACACATAAGATAAATTTCTCCAAAATATTTTTTTGAATCAGTTCTCTCTCTTCTAAGGAATTTCACATATGATTCAAATGAAACCTTAATGACATTATCAAAATGATTTTTATTTCCTTTGATTTCTTAGCCAGGTTTCATTGCAAAAAGTATCCCTCTAAAACTTTCCTCAGAAAGAAAGGAGCATTTGAAACCCAATAGCAAAGACTTATGAAATGGCAGTGCGGGCACTGAGCTTTTATCTAATTAAGCACCTTTTTTGGTAGATGGGAAAATGAGACCTCATTAAGTGACTTGTCCAAGCCCTGCAAATACTAAGTTGCAGAATGAAAACTAGAACTTACATCTCCTACCTTTCAGTCAAAGGCTCCCACTACAACATCAAATGGGCTTAGAGACGTTGAATACCAAGCAATGGCCTGGTGTTTTTGTTCTCAAAAGGAATAAGGATAAAGAAGAAAATCCCAGAATTTAAAAAAAAAAAAAAAAAAAGAAATACAAGCAGGCAAGACACATAAGAAAAATTGCTCAATCTTCCTATAATCAAATAAATGGAAGCTAAGGAAATCCTACTTTTTTCCAAAAAAATTTTTATCAGTACTCAATAATAGTACGAATGCTCCGCATGAATACAGGTGGAACTTTTTTACAATATACAGCAAGACAAAAATTTTTATTCCTTTAATTTAGTAATTGTACTTCTAGAAATTTTAAATAAAGATCTATATAAAAATTATTCAGAAATGTTCTTGCATTGTATGCAATAGTGAAAAGTTAGAACAATCTATGTGCCCAAAAATAGTAACAGTTTGATGGTACGTTGGAATACAGAACAACAATTACATATATTTTTGAAGAATAGTTAACAGGTAGGAAATGCTTGTATATGTTGAGTGTAAATAAAGCTAATTACCAACCAGTGTAAATAACATAAATGCAAAGAAAAAAAACATTGCTGGGAGGATATGCATCAAAAGATTGCAGTGGTTATCTCTGAGGATGGGGATTACAAGTGATTTTTTCCCATTGTTATTTCTTGAACAATTTTATGCACATCTCAAAATTTTTTTCAGTGAACACGGTTTATATCTCTAATTGGAAAAAATATATTTTAACTGAACATTTTATTAAATGGGAAAAATGTTGAATTTTTTTGTTGATTTCTAGATATGCCCCTCATGTGATTCTTATGAGAAAACATCACCGAAAGAATTCCTAGAAAGATTGAAATCACTTATCCAAAAGGTATGCAACTGAAATTGTATTTAATTTTCTACTTCATATTTATCTATCCATATTTATTCTTACATTTATGTTACTCATGGTATACTATTTCCACAGATGATTCATCAGCATCTCTCCTAGAACAAATGAGATATGAAGGTTCCTGAGGATCTAACTTGAAGCTGGACACTATATTACATACTCTAACACAGTAGTGAAACTCACTTCTTGGTATTCTAAATGGAGGAGTACAACATATTGGTGATGGGGAAAAAGACTCAGATCAGTATTTCAAGTCAGGATTATTTCCCCCCAGTTACTATACAGTTCTTCAGTTTGATCCACATGCTCTGTATCTGGTCAACTTGAAAAAGCTGTCTACTCAATTAAGTCTGATTTCCTATGTTATGGATTTCTATGGTTTCTAAAATTTTTACTTTATATTAGTGCCCAAATATGGCATTCCTTGATGGAGAGAGAAGCTTAAATTTTTTTTTAAGCTTAAAATTTTTAACCAAAAACATGGTTTGGGAATTTAGTGGTCTTGTATTAACCTTGACCTTGATTAGCACAGGAATGAGGTGTCTGATGATCATTAATTTAAAAGTTATATACCTTCATTCAAGATGAGAAATATAGAAGCATAGGGTCAAGATGAAATGTTGGTCTTTATTCTCTTAAGGAAATGGAAACTGAGTGTTTAAAAATGTATATCTGAAGAGTTTATTTTTTATCTCAGAATATCTAACATATAAATATATAGTTTATTTATGTGCCAGGAGATAGCTTTACTAGATGGCTACAGAAAAAGGTCTTATTTCTTTATTGGGATTTATCAAAAATATTTAAATACTATAGATATGAATGTATTTATGGAATACATTCTTGTAGTCTTTTTTCTTTAAGTCGTTTTAACATACCTTCCCCAGTTCAAGTCCCCTTATAAGCTAACATTTTAAGCTTGTGGAAATGGCAATTAAAACGTATAGAGGGACATATTCAGGTGGTATTCTGGAACAAAATGCATTTTAAGCAAAGTCTTGTAGCTCTCTTCTCAAATTGTTATAATGATTACATGGGAGCGAGCTAGTAACTCCAAATGTCTGTCACCTTTCTTCCTTTCTTTTCTTTCTTCTTTTGAACGTGACAGACACTTTGTGCTTGCATGCTTTGCATAAGGCAAATTCAATCACTTGTATCAAATCAAAATAAGGAGACAAATCAAGAGGCCAAGACTTCTGTCCTAATAGAAAACAGACTTTTGCATAAACATTCCAATCTTTCAACCATGGATAGTAAAAGTAAGCAACCTGTTCTAACTGCCATTTCTTATCAACTCCAGCAGAGTTTATTTAAATATGAAATTAAAAACTCTAGGAAAATAAAATTTTTGCTAGAATGTCATAAGCTATTTGAGAATCTCTTGTTGTTAAAATGGCTGTGAACGTGCAAGAGGATGTGGGATGGGAAATACTGTATGTTCTGAGAAGAAAAATTATCTACTTAGAAGTATTTTTTTTAAGTACAGACAAATTTATAGTTCTAAAAGATATATTAGCTGTCAATTATTTCATCAAATCTCAATGAGATGTGTTATCAAAAACACGGTATTCTACCTTAAAATTTTAAAATGTTATCACAAAGGGATCATGTAAACAATAATGATGATAACATGCATGTAGAGCCTACCTATGTGTCAAATGGTGCCAGCCCACATTATTGGGATAAAAGCAGAAAGCAGCCACAAAGTTGCCTAGGGAAGGATGAAGTCTGTATTTCTTGTTTTTGGCTTTATAGTTGGTGACTTCTTTGACACTGTGATTTTATATTTAAAATAATATATTTATTTTGGTGTGTTTACTGTTAAAATCTCTGTTCTAATCCTTTGACCAGAGATTCTACCTTAAGAGTAAAAATAATTTAACGGGGTGTTGGTTAAGAGCCTTCACTAAACTGAGTTTAAAGACTCAGGTAAAGATCCTAGCAACACTCCAAGAAAAGCACTGCATTGAAATAAACAAGATGAAGAAGTAAGACATGAACAGCTCCATCTTCACTGCTCTGTGTTCAAGACTTAAGCAGCCCTCAAAAGAGATAGAGGCTTACCTACGAACATTACTGTTCACCTACAGATGGTGATACAGGAGGCCTAAAATCTTGCTGGCTGTGAAATCATGGTCACTTGCTTAAATTTGGGGGGTTTCCATTTCCCTATCTGTAGAATGAGGATGTTGGACTGAATCTCTAAAGTCAATTCTACCTTTTTTAGAGCTTTTTGTGTCTATGAACGTCTAAAGTTCTGGATGTTCTGGATACTCTTATAGGAACATCTAACCATACTCTGAGTAAAACTTTCAGTAAATCTGATGTTCAGTTGAACAACCTTGTTCAATAGCATTTGTAGCAACACTCACTGCAGGAACAAAGAAAATGTTCCCCTCTCCCCCCCAAAAAAGGAAGGAAGAAAGAAAAAAAAAAAGGAGAAAAACATTGCAGTAGGTCATGGAAGTTCAGGGAAAATTAATCATGATTTTTACTACTGTAGCTGAAAGTGTCTTCTTTGGACACTTGTATAAAATTGTAGCATTATTATTCTATATTATTGCTCTGTTGTATTTACACTTGCATCTGAGAATTTAGTTTTAATACAAACTATGTACTTTATAACTTAATAATTATTTATTATATATTTGGTTTTAAATGTTTATGTTCATGGCTTCTTATTTAAGACTTGATCATATTAAATACTTCCCAGTCAGTACAACTGTTTTTGTGATTCCCTGGAAACCCTTAATTCAATAGTCTTAGCAGAAAATAAAAGATGATCCTCAGTTTCTGGGAGCATATTGTTTTTATATGTATATTGCTAAGACAGTCTTTTCTCCTTACATACTTTCACTGAAATGGAACCTTCCACTTCCTGTCGCCACCTCAAGGATATCACGTCCTTTTGCAGCTCTCCCAAGTGTATGGCAGGTTCTGAAGGAGTTGAAGATATCCTTGCCAATGCCCATTACATGTACACTCTTGTGTAAAACTCTTTCCTGCTTTGACATTTATCCCATTTAGCTTTTCTGTACCTTTATTTGTTATTGGTGATTGTCATCTGTTCTCTCCTCCATCTTTACAGAGGAGTTAGGCATACTCTTTCCCTTGAATTCAACTTCTGCCATCATCTTGGGTAACTTCAGTGCCCACAAGGAGGATTCCGCCAACACTGCCACTTGCCAGAACATTGACTACCTCAGTTTCAAACACCTGCAGGTGGCCCATTCCCATGGCCATATGTCAGACTTTATTGCCTTGGAACTATTTTCAGTATGAAATCCTTATATATATAAAGCCATCATCTGCTAGTCTCTTAATTCTTAAACTGCCTTCTACCACATCTGTTCACACACTCTCTCTCTCTCTCTCTCTCTCTCTCTCAAAATAAAGAAAAGAAAAAAGAAAAGAAAAGAAAACAAAGAATAGTCTCTACATGTGTCCCTACTCCCTCAACTTCTATCCATACATCAAACCACTATAATCTGATTTCTACCCATCCTACACCCTATCTGTGTATTAAAATGCCCTTTCTTTGATCAAAATACCTTCAAATTACCCAACTCACAAATATGTTTAAGTCCTTATCTTACTTGATCTTATCATGGCTTTTGCTACCTTTAATAACTCTCTTTTCTTCTTTGACTTTGGAGGGTCCTCCTTCTCCAGGTTCTTGTCTTACCTCTCTTACCACACATTCCCCATCTCAGTTGTTGGTTTGCTTTCCTGTGTCCTCCCTTTAGAAGTTGATATCCCTGAGGATTCTGTCCTGGCCACCTTTTCACTTTAAACTTTTCCTTCGATAGTCCAATAGATTCTTGGTGTTTTAAACATGCCCTTGTATGTTGTTTACCCACAAATCTACAGATAAAGGCCATACCTCTCTGTTAATTCCCAGACCCCTAAATCCAATTTCTCCCTGAAGATTTCCATCTTTATCTTCCAGGCCCTTCATCTCAACATGCCAAAACTGATCTTGTCACTGTTTCTCACTTCCATGACCTCCTCTACTTTCCAGTATTCCCTAATCTTAATTAATGGGAATGCATCTCCAGCCTCCCTGACTCTGCCTTCTCTCTCATTCACTATAACCAATTGGCCACGGGCCTTGCTATTTGTATCTCTTAAGTACATCCTTTCTTTTCCATTCACTCTGTCATCATTTTAATGCAGGCTCTCAGCAATGGTTACAATAACTTTTGATTGGGTTTCTGGTCTCTTGCCTTCTCTTCTCTCCAATCTATCTCTGCATGGTCACCAGAATTATATCTGATCAAATGTAAATTAGATAATGATTTTCCCTTATTTAAAGCCTTTCACTGGTTCTTCTTTAGAATAAAGCTGAGGCCTGAAGCTGGGCATGTAAGACCCTTTATCATCTGCTCCACTCCGCTCCCAGCCTCTTCTCACCTTGAACTTCACATTCCAGCGATTCACGTCTGCTTCTAGTTCCGACACACCATGCTGTTTCATGCCTCTGTGTCTTTGTACTTGCAGTGGAATATTACTCCTCCACCCTCTCCTCAACATCCAGAAAAACCCTCAGGCATCTGTCAGCACTCAACTTAGTTATCACTTCCTCCAGAAGTATTTCCATCACCATCTCATTCCATCTCTGTGACAGTATTAATCTCTTCTCACTTTTAGAACTTGAGCATACTCTGGTTATTAGTTTTAATGTGGTATATACACATTTATTGACCGATACATCTGTTTCCCTTTCCAGAACATAAGCCTCTTTGGTAGAAGGAAGTGCATCTTGCCTGCACAGTGCCTTATATATAGCACATAACATATAGTAGAAAACAATGTTCAAAAATTGAGTCAGACCAAATACAAAATACATAATTATGCACTAAAACTTTCCTTGATATGCATTGAAGTTTTCCTTGACATCTCTTTCTCTTACCCATTGAATCCAATTATCATCAAAGCCTGTCAACTCTGTTTTCAAAATAACTCTAGAAGACAATCACCTGTCGCCATCTCCAGCTTCCACTTTATTTGACTCCACCACCATTTTTCACTTAGATAATTGTAATATTTTCCTAAATTGTTTTCCTGGTTTTGTTCTTGCCCCTCACCAAACTTTATTTGCAACAAGCAACCTTAATAATCTTTGAAAACACCAGAGTATATCACCCCTTAGCTTAAAACCTTCCAATGGCTCCCACCTCATTCAGAAAGCCTGAGTCCTACAACAAGGGCTACATGGTCATTATGTTCCTTCTACTTCTCTAATCTCACTTTCATTCTTCTTACTCAACTCAAGCCACACTGACACTCTTCCCTGTCTCCAGCACTCTAGGAACACTCCCACCCATGGCATTTGCAGTTTCTGTTTCTTTTGATTGGAATGGTCT